TCACAAAACTCAGTAACAACTAGTAGAGATTGTAATCCTTCCTTAGTCTATAAAAAAATTAGACTGGAGATAATTTTTTTAATACCTAATTTGGATGCTCAGGATGTCATGCTCCCACTCACCTGCAACCCTATTCTGTTTCTCATCCACTACAATCTTCTTGTTTAATATCAAAACATTTATTAGACATGTAAACCCACAAAAAAAGTATTTGTTTCGTTTAGTTTTGCATCAATTCGGATTTATATTTCTTTCCTTTTTCAGATTTATATAGTATTTGAGGTTGAATAAAGACACGGGACCATCAAGTTCAACCTTCAATGTGCCTGTGTGTGTGTAATGCGTGCATGTGTGTGTATGAGTCACCGTGTGGTTTAGAAGCACCTGTACCCCTGTATGTTACGGTCTCTTATGAAGGTATCTAATTGATTTTTGAATGAATCAATATCCACTGCAGATACCACTGCTCATGGTAGAGAGTTCCAAAATGTAACCGCTCTGACTGAAAAGAAGCCCATATGCCCTTTGTGGATAAATCTTTTCTCCACCAATTTTAGGTGGTGGCCTCTGATCTTTGTTAGAGTTTACAATAAAAACTTGATTGCTGATGTTGCCATCACCACTAAACATTGTGTACATCAAAATCATGTACCCTCTTCAGCCGCACTTGGTTTCTGGAGGAATATACAGCTCTCCCACTTCCTCCATGCGCTACCCCCCGCCACTGACTTTTCTCGCCCTCTCACGGCCTTTGAATCGGAATGCGATAAATTAGAACACCTTAGACATGCGGTCTCATTCATGTATTCTCTGTTGAATACTCCTATAGCAGATAGTGTCCCCGCTTACATCAGTAAATGGGAACGGGATCTAGGTGTTAGTTTCACTCCTACCCAAATAACGAGACTTCAGTACTTCTCCCTTAAATCCTCCATTCATACGAGAGTTCAGGAATCAGGGTTTAAACTCCTCACTCGCTGGTACAGAACCCCCCAACTCCTCCACTCAATGTACCCATCTGTGCCCAACTGTTGCTGGCGCTGTAACGAAGCTCCCGGTGACTTACTCCATATTTTCTGGTTCTCTCCGAGAGTGACCCCATTCTGGTCTTCTGTGAAGTCCATACTGGGTAAATTCACGGACAGAGAAATCCCATGGGACCCAGCCTTTTTTCTCCTCCACCATAACTCCTTCCCCAGAAAACACTATAAATTGTCTATCCTTCCACACCTCCTGAACGCAGCACGCTGCTGTATTCCAGCGTTGTGGAAATCGTCCCAGGTTCATGTACCCTCCTAATCGCCTCACTTCCAGCGTGAACAAGTATAAATTTAGCAACCTTGTCTCATAGCTTTGATCCTCCAGCCACTTAAATAGTTTAATTGCCCTTAATTAGTTTAATTGCCCTTCTCTGGACTCTCTCCAGCTCCAGGACATCCTTTCTGTGGCTTGGATCCGAAATTCAATTAATTTGGTTTGGATTTCGAATCCATCTGACTTTTCATTTCAGGAGAAAGTCACATGACCGTGCCTGTAATGCAACCCCCAACAGCCAAATAAAACCCATCTGATTGGCCATAGAACAGTCACATGTCTGATTAAGTTTTATTTTGAAAGAAATCCAAATTTTCAGACAGATCCAAAATATTTGTTTAAGGACCTTTCAGATTCATTTGCACACGTTCACATTTGGAAATTCGGATGCATCTGATTGTCCAAATTTAATAAAATTTGTATGAATATTCATTTGGAATGAAACTAAATTTTCATGTCTAACATTTATGAGTTTTATATACCCAAACAAAACATTTACCAGTAAAGTATATGCAACCCATGCTGCCTTTAAATACCTGTGCTTGTCTTCAAGTCAGTTCCTTTGTTTCTGGGGAGGACCTCAAATCTTAAGCACGGGACCCTTACATCTCTTCACTTTGAGATTTAGACCCACCCCTTCCAGGCATTATGCTCCACCCCAGGAACTCATGTGCAGCATGATGCCTGCAGTTGGAGGGGGAGCTATGAACTCAGGTGCAGACTGAATCATACAGTTGGTGGGAGGAGCCAGGAACTCAGGTGCAGACTGAATTATGCAGTTGGTGGGAGGAGCCAGTAACTCAGGTGCAGACTGAATCATGCAGTTAGTGGGAGGAGTTTAATATACCCAAACAAAACATTTACCAGTAAAGTATTTGTGACTCATGCTGCCTTTAAATACCTGTGCTTGTCTTCAAGTCAGTTCCTTTGTTTCTGGGGAGGACCTCAAATCTTAAGCACGGGACCCTTACATCTCTTCACTTTGAGATTTAGACCCACCCCTTCCAGGCATTATGCTCCACCCCAGGAACTCATGTGCAGCATGATGTCTGCAGTTGGAGGGTGAGGTAGGAACTCAGGTGCAGACTGAATCATGCAGTTGGTGGGAGGAGCCAGGGACTCAGATGCAGACTGAATCACGCAGTTAGTGGGAGGAGTTTTATATACCCAAACAAAACATTTACCAGTAAAGTATTTGTGACTCATGCTGCCTTTAAATATCTGTGTTTGTCTTCAAGTCAGTTCCTTTGTTTCTAGGGAGGACCTCACATCCTAAGCCCAGGGCCCTAACATCTCTTCACTGTGAGATTTAGACCCCCCCCCTTCCAGGCATTATGCTCCACTCCAGGAACTCATGTGCAGCATGATGCCTGCAGTTGGTGGGAGGAGCCAGGAACTCAGGTGCAGACTGAATTATGCAATTGGTGAGAGGGATTTTAAAATCCGAGTGACATAAAAAGTTGGAGGGGGACTCGATGCAGAACATGAATCTGAACATCATTTTTTTGGTAGACCGACCTTCAAATTATTATTTTAACATTTCAAAATATAAGCACATGTTTCATTACTAGTACATGTGTAACTTGTACAAAACCTGCAGTGTTATAAATTGCTGTTTTGAAATTTCCTAATTTTTGGATTTCTGTGCAGGCGAACTGGACAATGAAAGAGCCACCTGTTAATTGCTAACAATGTGGCATTTGTTGCTGTGTGCCAATATTACAGAAGTCGGTTTTGGCTCTCTCGCTATGTAGCACTGGCTACAGTCTTGCACACGGGTCTGTGATTGTAGAAAAATCCAAATTCCAAAAAGCACTTTATTTATTCCACTGAATCTCCTCTATATTAATGTTTATGGCACTGTTCATTTATATGAAATTTATTGTTAATGTGACAGATGTACATTTAAATAAATACAATATAGAGTTTCTTTTAAAAAACAAGTGCTCTTATTTAAAGCAGAAGTACAGTCAAGACTCACTCAATACTCACATTAATACCAGGTGATATGCACTGGTACTTTGTTTATCATTGTGAGTTGTGGCGGTATCTGTGTTAAGGAGAGATATTCACCAGAACTGGGATTGGAACCAGATTAGGCAAATTTGCGGCTATTAAAAGCAAAACCCCAATCCAGTGATACAATCTTTAAAATTGAATGGCTAAAATGGTTCTTTGTAAACATAAGCAGATCACTGCAAGACAGCCCGTACTTCATCCCATGTTGTATGTACCATGCCTTCACTGACATGCCTCCTTCAAGTGAATGGGGAAACCAATCAAGAAACTGCAGTTATTATGGCATTTTGGCATGGCATTTTTACATTATTGCCCTTATTTGAATTTAAACTGCACCAATAAATCCAAAGTATTACATTAGACCTAAATTAGGGGCACTGATGTCCCTACAGAGAAAAACTAGCGATGCTGAGAGAAACTGAGTGTACTTGTAACTTCCTGCTGAACTAAAACTCTAACAATGTTTTCAGATGTCCCAGCTATCTGTTGACCACACAACCATTAGATCTAAGGACTGGTAAACGAGAAGTAAAGCCAACATTTTCTTTCACTTTAGTTCCATTTTGGGTCACACGAGTAAATTTACTAATGTACTGCTGACCTAAAGTCAGCATATAGCTACTGCCCACTATACGCCAACAGCGCACAAGTATTATTGTTGGAATCCACCTGGCATTCTGGCTGACAGCTTGGCTCTGCCTCTCTAGAGCCAGAGCCAAATGTGCCCACATCCGCCCATGTCTGTTTCCCCAATGAGCACTGGAGGAACAGAGATGGGAGCGGGGAATCCCTGTGGGAAGAGACCAAGAGCTGAGCGATCATACATTCATGATCGCTCAGGTCTTGGTATATAGAGCTGGCTTTTTATAGCTGCAGTGTCCCACACTGGCTCCAAGCATTGGAATGAGTATATCTTACTCTCCCAATACTTCTCCTTTAACTTTCAAAATAATGTTTTTTGTTTTATTGGGGGGAGGAGGGGGGGGGGTTAGCTGTGCTTTAATAACAATGTAGTGCATCCTAAAGGTGGTGCTATTTCATATGGGGTGAATCGAGACACCATCACCTGTATTTTTAATGGTAGTGGAAGCTGAGCAGCAAATAAAAAATTCTGATGGGGATTATGTCAGTGAAGGTTCTCATTCATCCAGGTCATGGTATATCAGTAAAAAATAAGTCAAGACAACTGGACTTGCTGTATTTTTCTTGAAGACGTTTCACTGGACATCCGACCAGCTTTTTTGTTTTAACACCTCTCTCTGGGCAGGTTAATAACACCTCCTAGCTCCAATTATGCAAATGCTATGAACACCTGGTTGCAACTAACAGATTATGTGGATTGGAGCAACATTCACCATATCTATTCCCAGATAATTTTTCTACAAGTCATTCTGAATTGAGAAAGTTGGTTGGATGTCTAGTGACATGTCTTCAAGAAAAATACAGCAAGTCGCCTTGACTTATTTGACTTGACTTATTTGTTTACAGATATGCTGGGGATTAGCTCACCATGGGACAGAGATATAAAAAACTATTTCACAATTTAACTCGCACTTGCCAGCAAAGTTTTGCATGGAAATTAACTTTTATAGTTGTATCGGAGAAGAATAATGGAAAAACATTCCGATGCTAAAAAAGCAGCACATGCAAAGATCCTAAACACTTACCCAGTGATTTCCTTAGCTCAGTTTTCTTTTCTCTGGATTCTGCCCCTGAGTGTAGTAATTCTGAACTTGCAGACTTACGAACGCTAATGCCCAATGGTGGAAACAGCTGCCTCGTTGCCTAAAAGACACATAGATAATCATATGACAAAATGCTCCAGTCTCACCCAGAAGCAGAGCTAGAAACCTGTTAAATACAACGCAATTATTTTTTTTAACAATATTAAAGGTCACGGGACAGGACTAAAGCCAGGGTCGGATTTCCCACAGGGTCAATCAAGGCCAGGCCTCAGGGCAGCAGGGAGTAGAGGGGCAGCAGGGGTGTTGAATTCAAATCTTCCGACGCCCAGGATATGCAGTTCGGGCGCCGGACGAGTTGTTGTTTTCTACATTTATTTGTAAATGTACAGTGGAGAAGCCACCACTTGTTTTGTACAAGTGATCTCGGCAAAGTCACCGAGATCACTTGTATGCAGCCTGCATACAGGGGGGTGCTTTGAGGAACCTGGCATTGGGGCAGCAGAGAGAGTAAATCTGGCCCTGACTATACCACAGTTGCAAAACTTCCTGGAAAGCCTTTGCACTTCTATGTTTGGTTAGTTGTTGCTTGCTTTTGCTTATAAACACAACCTGCACCTTGGTTATACTTTCTTTCTTAATAAATTTCAGGCAGCATGTTGCTTGAATTTTTAAGGAACACAAATGAAGACTGTCCATGTGTTTATTACTATAACAAATACAATGGGTAGTTATTTTCCATTGTGGTTAATGAATCAATGGAAACAATTAAAACATATTATTTTTTATAGATATTAAGATGAATTTATAACATTCCGCTGCAAACAGTTGGGAACTTTTGATTTTAAAGCACATTTTGTTTCTTTTTCTCAGAATGACTAAAAAGTGGATCTAAAACGATGAACAATAAGGAAAAAAGCCAGGGTGGGCTAAATCTTTGGGGAAAGGCTAGCAATTTTGTAGAAAATAGAAACAATCTTTTAACATAGCTCTCTCTTGTAACATAAGAATTATGTTGTACCATAATTACATAAAAGTGTAAGGCCCTGGACAAAGTACATTGTTTATGTCAGTGGCATTTCACAAAATGCCACTGACATGAAGTCACTGACATACGCAGTATTTCACATTAGGGAAGAGAGAAATTAAGCACAATGTATGAAAGAGAGTATGAAAAACTGTGAAGCACTTACAACAAAGAGCATAGTAGAAGTCCACTTTTTTATGGTCTAGGTACTCTATGAGTAAAGAAGATCAGAGCACTTGCACCAGCAATGTAAAATTTCTCCAAACATGGCTTCTTGTGGACATCTTTCACATTAATGAATTTGGTTTAAATAGTCATGACACAAGTGTGTAAAGAGTGGACAGGTCCTCTTTATTGGTAGACACAAAGCGGTCAGTTCTGGGAAGGTTACCTAACAACTGCTGGAATCTTTCCCATGGCGATTTAGAGCATGAGGCTCAAAGGGAGGGGTCATACATCAGGCATAGGGAACATAGGGGCACAGAGCACCATGGGAGAAAAAGGTCAGCAATTGTGTGGAGGCATGAGTCCTCATTCCAATTGGGAAGTGCAAGGTGCTTGCCCAGCAGGCTGAAGTGGCACATCCCTTAGCAACAAGGCAGACTTATGTATGCCATTATGTACAGCAGGTGCTGAGGCAGTCAGTGAGGTTTTGGTACTAAGAGTTGTGTTCCCTGAGGGTATGTTGGTGGTAATACGTGGCCAAGGTCAACATTTCTG